TGCACACACAAATGCACACTCTCTCTGCAGAAAGTACTGCTGCCTGAAGAGCTGGAGCAAGTGCTGCTGGCAGACCACAAACCAAACTACATCCTGCAGGTCCAATGGGGGACGCCACTCTGGCCAGCTCGCCTCGTGGGCGCGCAGGACTCAGATTCAGGCCGTCACTTGCAGCGCGGAAGAGCAACAGCCAGCTGTCCAGTCAGCAGTCGTGGCGTGTCCCTAAATCATAGGGGCGCCCAAAGACCACCAACCACTGCCCAACTTCTTGGATGTGTGCCTAGCGCTGCTCAAGCTGCACGCTGTCAATCTTGTGGCGATTGGCTGCCCGTTCCTGAGGCCCAGCGCGCCTCTGCGCCGCTGCCCCAACACCCACCCAACCCCCGCACGCTCACCGCCCCACCCCCTCACCGCCCCACCCGCTCTCCACCAAACTCCTTGCCGCCGGCCAGGTGCTGTCAGAGGTCGTAGGTGGCGCGCGGCTGGCGGCAGGGCCCCAGATTCTGATGGACGGCAACCTCACGGCCTTTGAAGATATTTTGGGAACCTGCGAGCGGCTGCTCAGGACGCCCATCCCCCTCAGCTACACCAGGTAGAGTTTATGGCGGGCAGACGCGACAAACAAATAACGAGCGGATGGGGATTTGAACGCGTGCCGCGGGCGGGGACGCTTCGGGCGGTGGCGGGGTTGTCAAGCGGGGTGACGGCACATGTGTGGAGGGCGAATGGCGCGCATCGTGGACCACGCGAATGCGCCACATGCTGCACACGGGCTGCGCATTCCACCAGCAATCGCCAAGCTGCCGCCGCCACCGCCGTCGCAGGCACACGAGCCGCTTCCTGGTGATCTGGCTGGCGCTGCTGCCCTTCACCCTGTTCGGCTCCCTCGGGCTCGCCACGCCGCCGCTGTGCCTCATGATTGCGTTCCTCCTCCTGGGTGGGTTGCGCGGCCCCTGCCCAGTGTCGGCAGCCTCGTCGCTCCGGGCATGTTCATGCCCAAGGCTGGTTGCGAGGGGCTGCGTCGTTCGCCGCCAGCGAGCGCTCGGTGCTGCGCTGCCGACAAAGAGGCCGGCGCTTTATTCCAGGCCCTGCCGCATCCCGGCCGAGGAGCCGCCGCGCTATGACAAATGACCGCTGCATCGCGCATCCCTAGGGATCGAGGAGATCGGGGTGAGCATTGAGGAGCCGTTCTCGATCCTGGCGCTCGAGGCCGTCTGCGACTCGGCCACAAACAACGTCCGGGAGCTCCAGGCGCAGTATACCGGCGATGACGTCACCGGCGATGACGTCACCAGCGGGCAGGCTTCGGCGCAGCCGCGGCCGCGCCGCCCGGTCGCGGCGGCGCTGATGGTCGCGATTGGAGCTGCGGATGGTGCGGGCCCGGCTTCATCCGATGCAGCCGATACAGCTAGTTTTGTGAGTATCGGTAGCCTCCCAGGCGCCGGCGCCAACGGCCACGCCAACTAAGCCGTCGGCGGCAGCAGCGGGGCGGCCGCGCGGCGGGCGCGTGCTCGCGGCGTGCGGTGACGCCTGGGGGATTCGAGAGGGCGTGAACAGCTGGACTGCGCCGGAAATGCGGCGCAGCGCTGGCGTCGTGAATTCGAAGGGGGCCGGCGCCTCTCCTACTTTACAAAAGCCCCCCCCCTACAACGAATGCCGCTTCACCTGTCTTGAACCCAGAGCACAGGACAGCCAGGGATATCTATCTAAGTCAAGGGTTGCGTCGCTCTCCAGGCAAATTGGCTCAAGGCGCCGCCCTCTGTGCTGTGGAACCCTTCCAATTGACAGGGCAGAGCGGCCCCTCCCTCAAAATACAACCCACAGACTCGCTGAACTCTGTCACAGATGTGACGGTGCAGGCGCGGACGCGCAACCTGCGCGTCCGGTGCGTAAACCCTGACCCTCCACGCGAGCAAAAATGCACGTCATGCCCCCGTGGGCCGACAATGCCGGCGCTTGTTAGCTCCTTGGCTTTGTCCGGCGCCGTTCCCGGGGCGCCTGTGCGGTTTGATGGTCTTGTACTGCCCCCAGCTTGCGTTGGCCTGGCGTGGGGTTTTAAGGGGCGCTGGCTGGCCCGCGCACCCCCCGGGCACGCGTTCCGCGGGCGCGTGCTCGCTGCCGCAAACGCACGCCTTGCTTCGCGCACGCACGGTGGGCTTGTCAACCTCTGTTGCTCGATGGCCCGACAGGAACAGCCCGCCTTATTGTACCCCTCCTGCCTCTTGGCCTGCCGCTGGGTCCGTTGCGGCCTTGCCACTCCTTGCAGTACTCGATATCGAATGACTCGACATCTTCCCAGCAGAAAGCGCACATTTGAAACTCCACCCTAGATCCAGCGCGTCCCGCATGCCCTGAAAACCCCACCCAAGATTTGTGCGTGCGAGCGAGCAGCCATGCTCCACACTCGCGCATCGACCGGGCACGCGTGCGCAGAGTGCCCACTGCACCAGGACCTGTGCTGGCCGTCAGCCCGTGTGCAGCATCTGTGTTCTGGCGCGCAACAGCGATCCACGCAGCCCTTACATAAACACAAACTTGAGCGACGTCCAGACGCATGACTGCACTTTGGGTCTCAAGTGGTGACGTCAGGATCCGGGCGGTGTTCCTTCTTTCCTGTTTTGATCTGCCTGCCGATCGGCTCAGTCAACCAACAATGGTGATCGCTTCAGATCAGGTGCAAGGCTTGCAGCCCCTTTGTCGGCCCCCTTCGTGTGTCGCAAAGCGTTGCCCCTTTTTTTGCAAGCTCGTCATAATTTTGCAGGCGGTGCTTGCAACAATACGTGCGAGAGCGTGTGTGCACGCGTGTGCGTGCAAGTTGTGATGTGTGTGCGTACGCACGCGCGTACGTGTGTGAACGCTTGCAGGACTGTGGGGCGTTAGCGCTCCTGGCCATGCGCCGGGGCGTCGCGGCCCCGGCCGCTGCCATGGGGTCGCTTCAGCTGTAACAGCGAGACCCCGCTGGCAGTACGACACTGTGCAGAGCCTGTCCAGACGAGTCGGCCTTTCACGACCTGAGACTTGCAACCAAGCGCACAGCTGGCCCAACCAGCGAAGCAGGGCCTCAGCACGGGGATAGCTGGCACTGCAGAAGCATCCTACCCCGAAGAGCAGGTCGAGGAGGGGGTCCAGGGGCCTAGCTGCTTGCCACGGTGCTCGCAGCCGGCGCACCGCCCCTGCCGGCGCCACCTGGCCGCCGCCCTCACACGGCTGCCATTCCGTCACATCGATTCACTTTGTAGATGAATTGATCCTGGTGGGGGAGCGCCAGGGTCGCCGGAAGTGCAGGCGACCGATACACGCGCGGTCACGTCGCCGATGCGCCAGGCGGGCGGCGCAATGTGTGGGGGAGATACACCCACCACAACATGCCTGACATGTACCTGTATGAACGCCCCTTGGCAAAATTCTAAGGCTTTATGACAGTGACAACCTGCCTCATGAGAGTGCAGGGGCACGGCAGCGGTAGACGTGCGTTGATGACGGCAGCACTCGGTGGCGTTGACCACTGTTGGTCGCGCGTGGTGCGTTTTCTGCACTACCTTGCAACGGTACATATGGATGATTTCAAGCCCAAAACCACCAGCGGCTAGCCGTATGCGTCGATGTGCCAGCGGCACGTTCTTTTCATTTCGGTGATCACTGCCAGTGCTTACCCCACGTGAAGTGCGAGCGATCTTTAAACAATTTTGTGTTTTTGGCAGCTTACATAGTCTGAACTTCAATTGCAACTTCTTCACTGCAAAGGGTTCTGATTCATAATCACAGACTGCTTCGCTCACTGCGCCCATTGCCTAGTTTGCGAGCTTAAAAGCAATCAGGAATACAAGCATCAATGATGCTACAGCACCATGCTCCGTCACGCGCGCTCGGCACCGGCACCAGCGCTGCTGCGGCGCGTGTCGCGATCATGTGCACGCCGCGTCCCTACCGCGGCGCTGGCGCGCGGCCCGCGGCGGCGCCGCTGGGCAGCACCATGTCGGTGGACGGTATAGAGCTGCCTGCTGAGATCAAGGTGCCAAAAGAGGCCAGCAAGGAGGGCAAGGTGCTGCACCCAGACCTCATCAACCCCAACATCCTGAAGACCCAGTGAGTGGCTGCTGCTCCGCAAGCAGGGGGCCGTCGGCCTGCCTGCGTGAGGAAGCCTGGGCTTCTGCGGACAAAACCAGGGGCAGAGCCCAAAGAGGGGAACTGTTGACGCAGAGTGGCAGGGCCTCATGGCTGCGTGCGCTGGTGTTGGCGATGCGCGATTCGCCGGGGGCGCGCAGCTAATCGAACATGCGGCCGTGTGCGGCCGCAATGATTGGTGGAGGTTACTTCAACGCCGCCACTTTTTATCCCGCTGCAGCTGCTGCTGCTGCTGCTGCTGCAGGCGGTCATGCAATTGCATGCGGCACCCCAGACAAAAGCCCTGCCTTGCTTCTTACAAATCAGCAAGCCTTGGGCGCAGTAATTCAATGAAATCCTTTTTTCTCCCCTTCCTCGCCTTTGGCACTTTCCTGAACCATGATTCCTCCAGCTAACTGATTGTACTCTTCCAAAACATCTCCCAGGTATGCGGTGAGGGGTGAGCTGTACCTCCGGGCGGACAAGATGCGGCGCGAGGGGCGTGACATCATCTTTACTAACAGTGAGTAAAGGGCAGGGGCATGATAGCCATCCGCGACGAATCAGTTCGTCAGGGGTAGGCTGAGCATGGCTCGACATACATAATCCCATGGGACTTGCAAGACTGTGAGGGGCTGGAAGAGGCGCTGACAGGCGGCGGGGACTCGCCGCTGAACGCGGGTCGATGGGTCGAGAGCGCCCCTGGCCGGCGCGACGAATCCGCACAAGCCCAGCCGCACTAGGAGCTCGCCGACGGCGGCTGCGGCGGCGGGCGCCGGCCGCGTGCGTTCCGGCTCTGAAGGCCCTGAGTGTGCCCGACTGCGGCCGCTGCACGCCCATTCACGCGTCCGTGCCCGCCGCAGTCGGCAACCCGCACAACCTCGGGGCGCAGCCAAAAACGTTCACGCGGCAGGTGGGGCGGCGGCGGCCCAGCCCTTTAGACCCCTGGTCCCTCGGCCACGTTGGGGCTGGGCTCAGCTGGGCGCCGCAGGCGGCCCGGTCGGGTGGCGGGAGCACACATTTCAACTGGGGCCCTATCAGGCCTGCTTTTGAGCAACTCGTCCTGCTTGTATCCAGCACCTCAAAAGTTTGTGGTGGCCAAACCTCCAGACCTGTGTTGGTTCTACCGATGTGAACTCGTCTCACCCCGTCGATAATCAAAATCATCCAAGTGTCTCATGTCCCATGCCCTGTTGAATCGCATGATCTAAGCCCTGGTGCACTCCTCACCACACACTATGCAAATCTCTCCCCCCCATCCAGCTTGTGGCGCTGTGCGCCGCGCCCTGGCTGCTGGATGACCCGCGGGCGGCGGAGCTGTTCCCGTCTGACGTAATGCAGAGGGCGCGGAAGCTGCTGGGCACCTTCACGGGCGGGATAGGCGCCTACACGGACTCCAGGTGCGGCTGATCTGAGGGGACCGTCTGAGGGGCCTGAGCTGCGATGATGCAAATGAGTAAGAACATGAGAATTTCAAGGGGAGAGGCCATAACTGCAATTCAGCGCGGCGGCGATCGGCCGACCACACTTTGCGGCAGCCCGCCTTTCAAGGGCGCTGCGGCCGTGGCCGTGCAGTGTGCAACCTTGAGGAGCGACGCATGCTCGCGCGTTCGCCGTCCCGCGCGCGGCCGCAGGGGCAACGCGGCGGTGCGGCGGGAGGTGGCGGACTTCATTCAGCGGCGGGACGGCCACCCCTCGAACCCTGAGGTGGGGTCGCGGGGGCGGCCCCGCTCGAGCGCGCGCCGCACCCAGATCACGCATGCACACGTGGGCTGCCCCGGCCACGTCGCCATGCCGGTGCCTCTGCCCGGCCCGCTGGCCCTCGGGAACACCCCCAAAGGTCGCCGCCTCTTCAGTCCCCCGCTGCTGCTGCAGCCTGCCTCGTGGTGATGTCATGTGTCGTCACACTTTCTACTGCGTTACTCCTTCTGTCCCATCCGCGCCCGCAGCACATCTACCTGACTGACGGCGCCAGCCCTGGCGTGCGCATCATGATCAACGCCATCATACGCGACAGGGTGCGCGTGTGTGTGTGCGTGTAGTTTTTGTGCGTGTGTGAGAATGGGCATGTGTACTTCTGTGCAGTTAGCTGATGTGTGCGTGCGTGTGTTTATGGTGTGTGTATGTGTTTGTGTCTTGAATGTGTGGATGTGTACCGTTGTTTGTGTCAGGTATGTATCTGCATGTGTGTGTGTGTGGGGGGGAGGCATGCATTTGCGCTTGCGTATTTCTGGTATGCATCTGCGCGTGTGTTGCTCTCAAGGCAATGTCAGCGGCTAGTCG